TGGTGCTGCTTGTAGTCATTAAAATAGTCATTGTTTAAAGATGGGCTCATTAATGTTCAGTTCTTAAAATTCTGCCCTTGGGGCACTCAGTGTGGTGAAAAGAGCCTGAACTTTGTAGTGAAATAGCACAACATTTAAATTCTGGCTCTGCCAAGCTTTATGACCCTTACAATGTCACTGAAGGACCCTGAGCCTCAGTTTTCTCAGGCCTAAAATAGAAACTATAAGAAATGTAAGGGTTAAATGAGATATGGTACACAAAAATCACTTAAACATACTGTCAGATGCCTAGTAGGTGCACAATAAGCAGTAGCAAAAGTGATTATGATGGTAGCAGTGATTTTTTTCCTTGGAAATATAATGGAAGAAAAATATATCTTTCTTCCTACTCTTTTTGGTTTTTGTCTGGGTTTCTGTGACAAAAGACAGATTAACAAGAGAAGAGCATACAAATCTATTTAATATAAGTTTTACATGACACTGCAGTTTTCATAAGGAAATGAAGACCTGAAGAAAGAGTTAAACCTGCATGTTTTCGTGCTACATTTGATGAAGAGTAGAGACTCATGGGACAATGTGATTGGACAAAAAGAATTATTAGCCAAGAGTAGTAAACTGAGGGAAACTTAGCAACTTAGCACCTGTTCATTCAGCTTGCTGTTGTTGTTCTTCAAAATTCCTTCAATTTAAAATATTCACCATGCCAAGTTGCCATATTTTGGTGTAGCATGTTCTGAACCCCATTAGGAACAAAACTATGGAATTTTTCTGAACCAAAGAGATAGGCAGTACATGTAAATCTATGCAAGGAAAGGCTTTTTTTTTCTTTTTTAGACAGAGTCTCACTCTGTTGCAATGGGATAGGGTGCCGTGGTGTCAGCCTAGTTCACAGCAACCCCAAACTCCTGGGCTCAAGCAATCCTTCTGCCTCAGCCTCCCAAGTAGTTGGTACTACAGGCATGAACCACCATGCCTGGCTAATTTTTTCTATATATTTTTAGTTGTCCAGCTAATTTCTTTCTATTTTTAGTAGAGACAGGGTCTCACTCTTGCTCAGGCTGGTATTGAACTCCTGACCTTGAGCGATCCTCCCTCCTTGGCCTCCCCAGAGTGCTAGGATTGCAGGCGTGAGCCACCACTCCTGGCCAAGAAAAGGCTCCTATTAATCTCATTCCATGAACTTAAGTTAATGGTTGTGAAACACACACACACACACCTACACACAATTAAACTTCCATCCTTCTGAGACCCAGGGAATATGCAATGAAGAAGGGCTTCTGAGAGTGGTAATAGGAAGAAATAAATAACAATCAACGTAAAAATAACTTTACTTTTTTTTGCCAGTCTTTTGTGCTAATGCCGACTCAAAATAAATTTACTCAGTGCCTAGAGAAAAGCCTCTAAATAAGTATCAGGAAATTTCCGGTAGCCTTAAGATATTATGAGAATAGAATCTCACAGGATAAAGCCATTGAGAACCACCCACCTTTAAATGTCATTCCAATCCCTATTACCAGAAATAAGAAAGATTTTCTAACTTGTTTAACTCAGGCTTAGGTGATAGAGGATGAGATTGCAGATATCACTATTGTGTTGAAAGACCTTGGTACAGAGAGTAAGCTAATGATATGTTCCTTACTTAATCCAACCAAATGTCTTGAAGTTAAGTCATATTCTTGTTATCTTGTGGATGTGTGTGGATACAGTTTACCATGTATTCCATGTACGCACTTAACACAATCCATCCCATTTAGCCAACAACACTAAAATAATATATTCTTGACAGTGACTCTGGTTGGGGTGTTGCATTTGCAAGCAAAACACACTACTTCCTCAATATTGGCTGCTTTAGTGGAGGCCCTTACAGCTGACAACACAACAGAGAACTTCATAAAGAGAGTCTCATGATAGCTGTTATTTATTATGCAAATGCTGCCTGCCATGGCAACATTGCATCTAGGAGTTTGCTTTATTTGCACTAGGACATGGCCTGCATATTCAAATGAAGGCAGCCGTACATTATGCCTACACATTACAAAGATTTTGTTTTCCTTGACACTTACAGGAGAACAAACTGCAATTAATATAGCCTGTTTAAGCAGACAGCACCCAATTAGTTATCATCCATTTTCAGATTGGGATGCTAGACAAAAAACATGGAGCTGGGCTCCTTATTCAAAAGGAAAATACATCCAAACTACAGGTTTTCAAAGACACATTTAACTCACAATGGCAAGGATACTCACTTAGCCTTTAATGTGAAATGGAGTGTTAATTTTTCTCTGTCACCTCTTAATTGCTTCCTTATTATACTGTTCAAGCAGTTAATTGCTAGACTGAGTGAAAGAGTGTTTTCAGGGGAAAGGAAATGCCACAGCATGAAAGAAAAAAAAAATAGAAGCAGTTCACTAGAGTAATTGGGTCTGATATAACATTAGCTATGGTATTCCTTTTAACGGTACCTACAAAAATTAATAGGCAAAGCCAAATTGTTTGTGATTGGGAAAGTAGAGAAAGATTAAGTCAGTCGGCATGCCTGCATGGGACTTGTGTCACTGTCATTTACCAAGCAAATGAGAGGACTCTTCCATGCCATCCACACTTGGCCCAGATGCAGGCTGCCTTCTCATGTGTGGGGCAGATGGGGACATCTCCAACAGCCAGATATTCCTGGTGCAGAAGCTGGTTCCAGGGAGCCATGTGGACGCTTGCTAGTTGCCTTCCTTGGGTTACTATTCACAGTACAATTGAAGGAGAAAAGAAGGCAAAAAGTCATTTTGTCCTATGCTTCTAAATAACTTGGAGCTCCCCCTGCAATTCCAATTGGCCCTTCAAGAAATTGATCCTTCCTTTTAGTACCATCAAAAATGGTGGACACTGTCAGTACTTGATTGTGCTTCTTCAGCAGAGAAATGGATAGTAAGAATAAAAGGCAAGAATTACAGACATTTATCTAAACAACAAAACATAGATCACCAGCTTTAATGAGGATGTTTGCATGCCCGTGTTAGAGAATTCATAATAAGTATTATTTTCTACATCCTCTAATTTTATTAAAGCATAGCAATTATTAATGAAGAAAGACGGTAAAGAAAACACTTGCTTTAACAGTGAGGTTGGAAAAGAGATGTTTATTTGCATTACATTTTAATGATGATCAAAAGAAATAACTTTGTTGTCCCTTAAATTTAACTTCTCAATGAAAAATAGGAAAAAAATGTAAACCATATAAGGAATTGTGTTCACTAGCATTTGTGTAATGATTAATTCATTAGCACCACTCTATCTGCTGTTCCTGTTTGTTTTCTGTTTACTAAAGTCTGCTGACCTTCCCCATGGTTTTGCCTCTAAAAAGGCAAAGGTGGGAGATGGGAAAAGTGACTGGTGGTAGACTCCTTCTATGAGTGGAACAGTAATATGAAACTGTTTCAATGATCTACCTCCAAAGAGGTAGAGAAAATTCAATCTTGAAGTGGAAAATACTCAATTATAAGGAATTGAATAATTAAGCAAGTAAATAAAATATTCAATATGAAACATCACAAAGAAAATTCTCTAAGAGGCATTGTACTCTTCTGCATATGACTGCTAGACAAACGATCTACAACAGTGGTTATTAACCTAGGCTCCATTTATGGGAAACAGAGGTCAGTAAACATTCAAAAATATTGCATAAGGACTCTATGTATATGTGAATCTCTGATTTTCTTGGAGAAGATCCATAGGTTTTGTATTAGTTTTCTATGCCACATAACAAATTACTACAAATTCAATGGCTTAAAACAACGCACACATTTATTATCTCACAATTTCTGTGAGCAACGGAGCCTATGTATGACTTAGCAGGATTCTTGGTAAGGCTGCCATGAAGGTGTGAGCCAGGGCTCCATTCTCATCTTCAGGTTTGACTGGGTTCTGCTTCAATCTTCACTCTGGTTGTTGGCAGAAGTCATTTCCTATGGTTGTAGGATTTATGGCAGCAAGGACAGCAAGACCCTACAGTGAGTCTTCTAGGAGGAGAGAGTCTCATAAAGATAACATAATCACTGGAGTGACAGCTCATAGCCTTTGCCATATTCTATTGGTTAGAAGCAAGCTAAATGCCCTACCCACACTTAAGGGGAGGGGATTATACAAGGGTGTGAACACAAGAAGGAAGGGATCATGTAAGTCACCTTAGCTTTCATCAAATTTTCAAATAGATCTATGATTTTTTTTTAATTTATAAAGTCTATAAAGTACAAATGTATTCATTATCTACTGATGAGTAACAAATTACTATAAAACATAGTGGCTTAAAGCAACAATAATTACTTATGATATCTCATGGTTTCCATGGCTCAGGAATTCAGGGCACAGTGGGGATGGCTTATATGTGCTTCACCATGTCTGGAGTCTCAACTGAAAGATTCAATGACTAAGAACTGGAATCATCTAAAGGTCCATTCACTCACACGTTTGATGGTTAATGCTGGATATCAGCTCGGGGCCTTTGTCCTTGTGTACATGTGTTTTTCCATGTGGTCTCTTCAGCTTTTACACAGCATGGTGGGTGGGTTCTACAGGTGATCATTCCAAAAGAGAAAGGGGGAGAGAGAGAGAGAACACTAGGCATATGCCATATCATCTTTTCTGTCCTAGCTAGAATTCGCATAGCTTCACTCTATCGTATTCTATCAATGATGGCAGTTTCATAGATTAACTCAGTTTCAAGATGAAGGAACACAGATTCTACTTTTCAACAACAAAGAAGATGAGACAAATAAGTGAGTGGGACCATCCTCTAAAATATAATCTGCCACAAGAAGTGAATGAAGGCATTCAACAAATATTTACTGGCTCTATACATATTTACCAGACTCCTACACTTTGCTTAGGTCACTCGTGCACTGATGCACCATACTTCAAGGCTACATTAATACAATTAAATCATCACTTGTAACTTCCCAAACAAATCTATCTTTGCAAAATAACTTCCTTAAAGACTGAAAATGTGGGAAGAAGAAGCAGCTACGGCGGCGGCGGCGGCGGCGGCTGGGGCGGCAGCGCATAAAGGGGCCGCCGCCGGGTGATGCGGTGACCGCTGCGGCAGGCCCAGGAGCTGAGTGGGCCCCGGCCCTCAGCCCGTCCCACCAGACTCCCCCTCTCCCGAACTCCCGTATTCTCCGGCCGACCGCGATCGCCGAGGCAGCCTCAGGCTCCCTCGCCCCTTCCCCGCCCCTCCCCCGCCCCCGTCCCCGCCCCGGGGGCCGCCGCCACCCGCCTCCCACCATGGCTCTGAAGAGAATCCACAAGGAATTGAATGATCTGGCACGGGATCCCCCAGCACAATGTTCAGCAGGTCCTGTTGGAGATGACATGTTCCATTGGCAAGCTACAATAATGGGGCCAAATGACAGTCCATATCAGGGTGGAGTATTTTTCTTGACAATTCATTTCCCAACAGATTACCCCTTCAAACCACCTAAGGTTGCATTTACAACAAGAATTTATCATCCAAATATTAACAGTAATGGCAGCATTTGTCTTGATATTCTACGGTCACAGTGGTCTCCAGCACTAACTATTTCAAAAGTACTCTTGTCCATCTGTTCTCTGTTGTGTGATCCCAATCCAGATGATCCTTTAGTGCCTGAGATTGCTCGGATCTACAAAACAGATAGAGAAAAGTACAACAGAATAGCTCGGGAATGGACTCAGAAGTATGCGATGTAATTAAAGAAATTATTGGATAACCTCTACAAATAAAGATAGGGGAACTCTGAAAGAGAAAGTCCTTTTGATTTCCATTTGACTGCTTTCTATGAGCCCACGCCTCATCTTCCCCTGTGCACATGTTTACCTGATACAGCAGTGCTGCGTGTTGTACATACTTGGAACAACAAACTAGAAATACTGTACTTCTGTACCAACATTGCCTCCTAGCAGAGAAGTGTGTGTGTGACAAGCCATTTCTCCAGGCGTAACCTAGGTGCGAGACTAAAAGCTTTCCTTATTGACTTAAATTTGGATAACGGCAAGGTGTGAGGGGTGGTGGGTTTGGTGTGTGCTTGGATGGAAAAGAAAAGCTCCACTGACCTGTAGGAGATTGTTTTTAAGTGGAATCCATTTAAACTCAAAACAGTTATGTAAAGCAAGGTGAAGAACATGAAGCTGTTTCTGTATTCATTTTATTCTGAAGGACCTGCGTCTTGGGTGAAAGTTATGACCAACCAGATTAATTCTACCCACATCCTGTATTTTAAGGTCTAAGTTTAACTGGTCAATATTTAAATGGATTGGAGCTATTAGTACATAAAGTGTGATGGGCTTTGTTCCCAACTCTTTTACATCTCCCCACCCCTTCAACCTTCAGCCTTTTAGCCCTTCTTTCTCTCTTCCATATTCTTTGGTTTGTATGTGGTTTCTCAGTTAATTCATAGCTAATAGCTCTTATTTTCTTATGTTTTTAACTGCTTAGGTCTATTTGGATGTAAGGGTGAAAATTCATTTGATGGAAATACTTGTGTATATTTAAAGACCCAATTGCTCCTCTGGAGCTTGTACGTTCAAGAATGATTAATCTGTGTAATAAACTGATTACTACAGTCATTACATATATATAAAAAAAAAAAGACTGAAAATGTTGTTCTCATGAAGTCATCTCACCATCTTAGAGATAAACACATATCCACCAAAGTTTCCTCTGCCAACTTTGAGACATAAAGCATCCTGGAGAAATCCCAACACTAAATTGGAAATTCTTGATTTGGAACTGAGTTCCCAGTACCACAAAGAAACCTGCCCTTTTTCAGGACATTTTATCATTAACAAACACAAACTCGCCAATCTCATATTAATTAATAAATTCCCTCCATCTTTCAGTGGTAATGTTCCATAAAGGGTCCCTCTGCATTTTGTAGATACAGCAAAGTAATTATTATATGATTCATTTACTTTTCATTTCTTATTTGTTAATTCAACACACGTTTATTGAATACCTAATACATACATGTCAGGGATTGTCCTGGGCACTAGGATTACAATGATGAGCAAAGTAGATATTGTTCCAGCCTTTACTGAGCTCTCATTCCAGTGGAGTAAATAAAGACTAGACCAGCAATTACATTACACTATGATAAGTGTTGTGATGAGGAAAATATACAGTGCTATGGACTTGGGTCAGAAAAAACTTCCCAAAGGAAATAATAGTTGCTGCAAATCCAAACTGTAGATTCTATAAAGGGAAATACTCCTTACAGTACAATATAGGCACTTAGTAGGTGCTTAATAAAGCCTTGGTTAGTAGGTTGTAGCCTATCACTCTCTTCTGAAACCTTCATTGGTACACAACTATCTTAGTAGGATATTTTAAGCCTTCTATAACTTAGCATTGCTCTTCTTTTCCAGCCCCATCCTTTCAACCACCCTGCACTCTCACCATTCCCAAAACATGGCATATACTTTGACACTGCCACAACCTTTATCTGTAATGTTACTTTAGCCTGGAATGCCCTTCCTCTTGTGTGTGTTGCCTGTCCTAACTTACTCATTTAAATACTATCTTCTACCTGAAGCCTTTCTTGACCAACATCTCCCAAGGTAGAGTCAATTGCACCATTCTCTTAGTGCCCACAGCACTTAGCTTATATCACTTGTTTCACTTTGTCTGGCATTATAATTACTTCTGTGTGTATCTCATTTATTCATTCACTTGTCAACAAGCACCAATTAAGTATATGCCATATATTCTATGTACTATGCTAGATGCTGGGGATAAAATGTAGAAAAAATAAACAAGATTCCTGCTCTTAGAAAACTATACCACTGTTATTAGCATAATAATTCATTCATTGTAGATGTCCAATATATATTGAATAAATGAATAGATGATGAATTAATATGGGGATGAATGGTTTGAATCTTGGTTATATCTATATCTATATCACAGAAAGTCTACAATTTGAAACTAAGAATCTATGTTATTTCTTAGATGGATAAATTGCCCCAAATCCAAAGGTTCTGGTGATTACCATTTTAATGAAAGCAAAAAAGCAAAACATTTCATTTAATGAAATGAAAAAAAATCTGGTCCCAGATGAGCCAAAAGACTACATTATTCTTATGAGTAGATCCATTTACCCTAGCAAGTAGTAGCTGTATACCATGCCTAGACTACAGTTTTGCTAGATAAACAGCACTGTTCACATACATATCTTAAAAACATATTAATGCAGGATGAGATTCCATGAACTTCCCATTAATTTTCTTCCCTTCAGATAACAAGTCCATAGACCATTTGTCTTATTGTACATTTCATACCCCCTTGATTTTTTCAACAAATTATTCCCAAGTTCCTACTATGTGGCATGCACTATATTAGGCACAGCTTTAAATAAAACTGTTTCCAGAGACTGAGTAGGAAAACTAACAAAATTTACTCCTGTCAAACTCACTAAGAGACAATAGAAACAGTGCTTTTCTCACCCTCTCCATAATAATTGAAGAATTAATCTTCATAGTGAAATACTAAAAGGCCTCTCTTAGTTCTCCTTCCTCTTATATTAGCTTTGGCCTATGAGTATGGTGTTCCTGCCAAATGGGTCAAACAGGAGAAGAAAGCACATTCAGGGCAAGATCATTCTGGAAAAAAATAGCCTTCCTTCTATATGCCATATTGATAGATCCTGCCATCCCCCCAACACACACACACACACACACACACACACACACACACACACACACACACACATTCTTTCCTGAATTTAACACTCTGAAAAGATTACTTGTGCTTCCATTGACAAATAGTATCCTTCCAATTTTCAGATATTGAAGTCACTATGCACTTCCGACACCAAAGGAAGTGTGACAATGGCAGCTAATGGATATCCCATTGTGTTAGGCAAGCACATTGCCCCAAAGCGCACTGTCATTAGAGATCTATTCCAAGTCTCATCCTGACCCCTAATCAGGGTTTTTAAAATTAACAATCCTTTTAACTACTTTATTTCTGATTATCATATCCAAACCAACCAGCTATTAGGACCTGACACTTCACTCATCAGGAAAGGTGTTCTCTGAGCTGCTATGCAAAGCTTTGATAATGCAGGGAGTTACCCATTCTATCACTTGTCCTTTCAGTTAGTCGGTTGATTGAGCTGTTAATCCTGTTCTTTAAAAAAAGAGAATAATCAGTGATATTTACAGTGCCATTAGCTGACAGGTTGGAATCCTGCTGTGCATTCTGTAGCTCCCAAAGCTTGTGGGAGTTTCTGGGTTCCTAGAAAATGTGTCCCTGTAGTCATATTGGTTTCATCAGCTAATAAATATCATCTGAACCTTTTTCTGACTTATTTCTGACTACAACATGAAGATAGCAAGGCTAGCTGAATACAAAACCATAAGAAAGATCTGTGGCTGTTGAAGATAGTATTTGAAAAAACAAAAAACAAACTCTGGCTATTGGCTATTAACCAAGTGCTATTGTCACTTGGAATAGAGAAAGAAAAATATAGACCCAGGGCTTCCTAATGTATCTCCATTGTTCCAGAGAGGATCTTTATTATGACTCACTCCCAACTAACCACCAATCGTGTTTGTGTAGTTTGTCAAAGGGACTTGCTCGTCAACATTGCTGAGAAGCACCTGTGGATATCATTTTTTTTTAGTGTACAACCAATTAATACTGGTGTGGGCAAGGGTTTCAATAATAATGACAACAATGCTTAGAGCACACCACATCACCAATATTTCCTTTTGGGTATCGGAGAGTTATAGTGCCACAATGAGTCCTGCCACAATCACCTCCTGCTCCCCTATTTTCTCCCCTCCTCAAACTCAGCTCATTCCATCATAATAGTTTGAAATATGTCTTCCTCTACATTAGGTTGTAAGCCCCTTTGAGGGCAGATGTCTCATTGATCCCAGTGTCCTCTGCCTGTATAACATCATCTACTGTGGTGCTTTTCACATGACAACTGCTCATGATGATCATTGCTTATGATGGTTCTACTGATTCTCATCAGGACATGAACTGTGGGCAATGTTTCCTAATGTTGGTCATTGGTTTCTGCTGAGACATACATTCTCTTATGTGGAACTCCCCATTTGGCAAATGGCAAGCTGATGGGTTCGAGTTAGTTACATAATCTGTAGCCAGGAGAAATAACTTGTTTTCAGTCTTCAATGCAAAAGATTACTCTCACATTCCAAAATGCTTCAAGTCTAGAACCCACTTTAGGTTTCCATTTATAAATGATAAGAGAAAGTACAAATGAACAAAATCTTTCTCTCCAGAATACTGATGATAGAGAAAAGGAAAGGGGCGTACAATTTTAAAATAAGCATCCCTACTAAATAAATTGAAACTCACTGTCTTTCTAAACCTTATCAGCACTCCCTAAAACTTATCACTGTTCTTAATTCATGTTGTCACCTTCTCTCTTCAAATGAGACTTCTGACAAGTTTTTAAATGATCCTTCTCTGTCAGCATAATCTTAATAATTCTAATAGTACAGGCTTGATTTGCATATGTAGAACTCTTAAATCAGTATATATATATCCTGATCAACACTGAATTTGCTCTTAACGTGATATATATGCCATGGATTCCTTCTTATACTCTATCCCATATTAGTACTTCTCACACTGTCCCACATTTAAAATAAAGAATGATATTTTATATAGTTGGTACAATTTGAGAGTAAAAAAATATACTAAGTATACTAAGGATGGTAGATAACTAAATTGAACAATCTGATGTCTGACTTCTACACAAATCCATTTTATTAGGCTATTCCTATTTCTCTGCATTAAGTTCTTTACCTAAATCTCTCTTCTTTTTTGTTAACTTCCAATTCTCTTTTGTCTAAGGATACAATGTCCCATATAGCCTGCTAAATCAATTTAGCAGACAGTCCTTTTGTACAGTTTTATAATCTGCAACATTTGCATTTCTATACTTCCCTTTAATTCACAAAGAATAGTACATCTCCTCCAGAGGAGACCGAAAAATGAAGCTGTAGAAATATTAAAAATCTTCTACAACTTGGAAAAATGATTTAAAACATCCGTTTGTAAAAATATAAATGATCCCTTTTTGTTGCTAGCTTCTAAAAGCTTCATTTAAAAAAAAATATGTAGAAGGTCCTCATTATAGCACAAAAGAGTCAAGGGAGACAATTTTCCTTGCCAGCCCATGAATTTATGCACTTTCCCATAGAGTTGGAAATTGCTGTTAACATAATCTTTCTCTGAAATTCCATCTCTGTATACTTTATTTGATGTCTGCTGTTGCCAACTCAAATCTAGATTGTTGTAGGAATCAACATAAGAGCAAACACAGGTCATCTAAATCTTTAATTGTTTTCCCTCTACAAGCCAAAGTTTTTTCTACATAATAATTAGAACAAATACAGCACTAAACATTTCAAAATGTTTCTTTTAATAGGCTTTCTTTTAAAATCTTTAATAAGGTATTAGTTAAAAGGATATCTATAGAATAAATGTAAATTATTAGTAACGATAAGAACATTAGAAAACGTCAAAAAAGAATAGCAGGCACAAATACTAAAAAAGAGTAAATGGTAGAAGTTCAGGATCAACAATAGAACTTTATTTA